TTTTGTAACAAAATTATTTCATACAACTACCAAAATTATTTGTAAAGCTAGGAAATGGGCCAAAAGTGAATTTCGCGAGACAAGAATGGTGACCATTTTGAAAATAGGCGAGCTTTTGAACCAAGAGTCATAGGAGAGTTTTTTGTTAATCTGAAAACATAGGAGAGTTTTTTGTATTGATGTTGAACAAAATTAACTTAAAACAGGAATCCTATCGACAGAGGGTTTAAGGCAAATGGTCCAAAAGTTTTGCGAGACAGATGGACAAATCAATGTTAACTAAAATGGCTGAAAATAAAAAAAATGGATATAATTTTTTGCTGATTTTTCGTAACAAAATTATTTCATACATCTACTCTTTACATTGACATGGTTTTTTACAATGTAGGACACTTGAAATTATTTGTAAAGCTAGGAAATAGGTCAAAAGTGAATTTCGCGAGACAAAAATGGCGGCCATTTTGAAAATAGCCGAGCTTTTGAGCCAGGAGTCACAGGGGAGTTTCCTGTATTGATGTTGAACAGAAATAACTTAAAACAGGAATCCTATCGACAGAGGTTTTAAAACGTGCCACTGTTGTTGACGGAAAAGTGGATTTCACAAGTCAGATGGACAAATCAATGTTAACTAAAATGGCTGAAATAAAAAAATAGATATAATTTTTCGCTGATTTTTTGTAACAAAATTATTTCATATATCTACTCTTTACATTGACACAGATTTTTACAATGTAGGACACCTGAAATTATTTGTAAAGCTAGGAAATGGGTCAAAAGTGAATTTCGCGAGACAAAAATGGCGGCCATTTTGAAAATAGGCGAGCTTTTGAACCAGGAGTCATAGGGGAGTTTTCTGTACTGATGTTGAACAGAAATAACTTAAAACAGGAATCCTATCGACAGAGGTTTTAAAACGTGCCAGTCAAAAGTGAATTTCGCGAGACAAAAATAGCGGCCATTTTGAAAATAGGCGAGCTTTTGAACCAGGAGTCATAGGGGAGTTTTCTGTATTGATGTTGAACAGAAATAACTTAAAACAGGAATCCTTTCGACAGAGGTTTTAAAACGTGCCACTATTGTTGACGGACGGACGGACAGACAGACGGACAAGTGAGTGATTGCAAAAGCTCACCATGTGAGTTAATAATAAATCGTGATGTCAAATACACAAATAAATAGTGATGTCAAATAAACGTCAAATAAATCATGTTGTGAAACAAACACCACGATTGGTCAACAAATCGACCCACACTGCACTGGTGATCCACTCGATTACGCTGGTTACCAAAACGATTCGTTTTGGTAACAAAATGTCGGAACGTCGAAGGTGCGATTTTTCTTTTTTCCTTATTTCACGCGTTGTAGGAAGAATCCCAACGACGTTTTTTCTCACAAACGTATATCAGCATAATATTTTTTAGAAAATGTACATGTTTGCGAAAAAATAGTTCAGAAGACAACAGAATCGTCGATTTAATTCCTCACTTAAGTTACATAAACGGTTTGGGTTAAAAGTGCAGATCTTAACTGTTTTTCGAAAAACCGTTTATGTAACTTAAGTGAGGAATTAAATCGACGATTCTGTTGTCCCCTGAACTATTTGTTCGCAAATATGTACATTTTCTTAAACATATGATACTGATACACGTTTGTCTTAAAAATGTCGTTGGAATTCTGCCTACAACGTGTGAAATAAGAAAAAAAGAAAAACCGTACCTTCGATGTTCCGACATTTTGTTACCAAAACGAATCGTTTTGGTAACCAGCGTAATCGAGTGGATCACCAGTGCACTGACTCATTTTTAATGTAGCCTACTTCACTTTACGTAAACATGAATTTGTACCTTAAAAATCATTTAGTCATATTCTGAATTATGTTATCTTACTTTCGTTTTCTGATTACACTAATTGTTGTTTAATTATCGTCCCGTCCGGATTTGGTAGGATATAGACAGCTGTGTTTTAACAAGGGCAGTTGTATGTAAAACACTCTTTCCGTTGCTATTCTTAATGAGCTGACATGTACCAGATGTACATTCTATTGATTAAACCAGATGAATGGCATCAATATATTATTGTTACCACCGGTGAAGAAGAGAACTATGCTTTAGTATATCCCGCACTTTATGATGATACTTCTACGTTCTATGAATCCTTGAAAGACAGGCCCATGAATCCTCCTTGAATAAGCTATGTGTCATTGTGTGTGCTCGCTCTAACATTTTAAGGGATTTAATCCATGGACTCGGTGCATCGTGGACTATCATTGCTCCAAGGTGTTGTTTCAAACTTTGCACGGTATCCGTAGAATCGAGTGCAAGTGGACTTTCTTACAATAATTTAGGAGTGTCTGTGAGAAATAATTCAATTAAAGCAGTGCTCTCGGAGACGACTGTTTTAAACAAACCTAGGGTGACTTCAAATCAAAAAATAATTGCCTCAATAATCTCACATTTTTCGCCAAATTAACAACATCGGCTGCGTCAAATAGAAACGAATTGAAGAAAAGCTATTCGCAAAATGGGAAATTTTTAATAGAAGAATTCAAAGATCTATAATTATTAAACAAAAGTGTTATCCTACGAGACAAATCGTTAGCACAGATGATGTAAATATAATATCTGTATATATGTTGCTGTAATGTTGTTGTATTTTGAGTATAAATGTAGACTTACAAGATTGCAGCTCCCATTCTGTATGATATCTTTTAATTTCAATATTATACAATGCAAAAATACAATTTACAAAGTTGACAAACTACAATTTTTGTCGTTAACTATAAACAAATCACTAAGAGACGGAAGTGGCCTTTATTATCATATGTCGTGTAAATAAATGTTTATACTTGAAAAAATCTATCTAGCTGTTTTCTATGTATTAGTATCCTGAAGAGTAACATAACGTATGTCTATGACTTTCCTATTGGATTACATATAGTATAATTCTGTGTTCTACAGTGTACATTCTCTTCTGATTCATTGAAGGTATCCTATCTGTTTCCGCAAACCTCCGTCGCAAGCGTGGATGCATGGCCGTTCTACTTATTTCGTAATTTAATAACTGACACAATGTTACATCACACATTTGACTTTGATAATGAACACAGTTTACTAGATGAAAATAAACCATGAGAAAAGAATTTACATCTTTTTTCAATTCTTAGATATCAACAAGCAAGAACTACGACGGCGTATATCAATCGCGTACGTATGACTCAATATTACTTTTGAGTATTATTTATCGTATATAAGTACTATAAAATGAAGCCTTTCACATTTTAGTGTAGGGCCTAACTAGATTACAAACGTTTCACGATCACACAACTGTACTTGATGTCCCGAGTTTAATGTTTTTCTTGCGTCACGCGCGGAATCGTATTCTCGTTCCCTTCCCTTCTCTTTCTATTTGCTCATCGATGAAATGAATGATGAATCCAAAGTATAATGTATGATGATGATGGACACTAAAGGTTGAATATGCAAGGCTGATAAAAATGCCAAGCTATGATTTCGAAACGAAATAAATTCGTGTTCTGTGATCGGCCGCCGTAGACATGATTTAGAAAGTTATTCACGATGTGGTGATGATACAATAATGTTAACTATTATTATAGAAGCTATTCTAAATCAATTAACTGCATTTGATTTTGCAAGTCAAAAGCTCATTATCCACGCTAATATTTGGACATCGTCTTTATCTTTATCGGATCATTCAGGTGAGAAATTTATGACGTAATTCAATTGTTCTCTCCGCCAACGGATGGAATTGGATGCCTGTCTTTTCTCTAAATACAAGGTACTTTGACTGAATGCTGTGACTACAATTTTTGTAATCTTTTTACACAAAACTAACATAAGCATGATCATATTCCGAATAAAGGAATGTGGAAATTTAAAAAAAATCTATCGAGACGTTTTTCTGTAAATTGAGATCTCCCGAGGGTAAAGTAAGTGTATGGTTTTCCCATAGCATTACATGTTAAATATGACAATTTTAGCAGCATAGACTCCTCAAAATACGATCTTTGAACCTTACTTACTATATCTCAACTTATTTTTTCTGTTTAAAATTTCTACAGCTTATGTACACCACTTGTTTACATACACTGTGCGATTTTCAGGAAAATCTGTCGAGGATTTTTTTTGGCTGACGGACCAGGTCCCACTATATAGCGTTGCCATTTTTAGTTAATATAATGAACGTTTAATATTTGTGCCAAAATACTTCCGATATCATCTTCCAATCAGCTGTGTGTATTGTAACGTTGGTGAATTATTTTGAAAATGGCGTTAAATGAATTAACTGAACAACGTAAATGATATTCACACATAGCTAGGCAAGGTATGTCCGATTCCAGCCAATCGGAACCAATTACGTCATACAACCGCAGTGCATTATATCACCAATCACCGCATTCACTATGTGGTTGTCAAGGTTATAACTTTCAGGCTTTGTTTCCTAAAATTAACACTTGATGCTGCGCATCTAGTGCATATTTTGGAAAGCAACACCTTAAAGGAATGGTCATTCCACATTGCACTGGTTCTTTGAACTTGGGAAAGAGATGAAACCCTGTGAAACCCTGAGCAAGTCGAGAAGTCTAGCTAGTTCTAGGGACATGCGAAAGAAAACTCTTTTGAAAATAATTGCCTTTTAGCACGTGTTATTTTCTGGTTCAAAGTAATGTATAAAGACATGGGTGTACTTTCTTGAAAAAGTGAAAATACACACATCCCATAATTACTTTACTTAAGAGTGCGCAAAATTAGCGTTACTGTTTTGATTCGAATGACCTTTATTTCTAACACATCATTTCTGCGTGAATCCGAGATCGAAACCGGGTGATTGTGGTAAAATGTTTGAGAACAGTTGTAATGATAAGAAATCTTGTAAAATAACAATTCAATGAAAGAATTACATAAGAATCTAGCATTGCACAATTTTCTGTTTAATCCCCAGGTAATCCCCCGGGGGTAATCCCCAGTTTATTCATCACCTACCTTTGCTCTCTATCAGTATGTCTGTATGTTTTATTCTATTTTTTAATAAAATTGTCCTTTCCTATCCTATTTTGTTCCACCGGTGAGATTCTTTCATTTGTATTCACATTCTTAGCGTTTTCTTGAAACAAAGTAATTTCTTCCATTTAAAAAGGTGTCATGTATCGATAACTATAAATCAATAAAAGTTGTCTCATATTCCGATACAATCACCAGGTATCATAAACATAAAGTGTTGTGTGTTCAGCTATCTAGCCTGCTATTCTTTCAATACTTTGAAACAAAACGTTGTATAAGTACTCTTTGTTAAACGTTTCGTCATTCCAATTACTGATATGTTGCTACATCATCCGAAAGTCCCGGTTGGTAGCAACCAATGTCTCAGCGTTTTCATTAGTTGAGCTTACATGTTACACTGGAGCCTGTAATCAATAGCATGTTTCTATATATTAACTTCGATCACTCACGCACTCTATTAATCTATTTGCGTTCCATATCTACCTGAACAAAACACGATAATCTCAAATATCAACAAACGATCTGTCCATAAGGTCTATATGAATACCAGATTATCAGATACGGAAGGGTTGCTCATAACATGAAGATTTCAACTAGATATAGTCTGCATGCAAAAATTAAAACGAAACTACTAAGAATTAGTTTTCACACTTGACAACTTTAACTTGTCTGTCAAGGAGGAAGGTACCATTTTTCTCTTTTCCTCATTTCACGCGTTGTAGGAAGAATTCCAAAGACATTTTTTAACACAAACGTGTATCAGTATCATATGTTTAAGAAAATGAACATATTTGCGAACAAATAGTTCAGAAGACAACAGAATCGTCGATTTAATTCCTCACTTAAGTTACATAAACGGTTTTTCGAAAAACAGTTAAGATTTGCACTTTTAACCCAAACCGTTTATGTAACTTAAGTGAGGAATTAAATCGACGATTCTATTGTCTTTTTAGCTATTTTTTCGCAAACATGTACATTTTCTCAAACATATGATACTGATACACGTTTGTGAGAAAAACGTCGTGGGGACTCTGCCTACAACGCGTGAAATAACTATAAAAGAAAAATCGTACCTTCGACGTTCCGACATTTTGTTACCAAAACGAACCGTTTCGGTAACCAGCGTAATCGAGTGGATCACCAGTGAAGGACTTTGCATTCGTTGGACTTTACTTTTTAAAAAGACCTTCGTCTTCGTATACTTAGTTTATAACTAGACTCTGCGCGCAGGGTGGAATTACGCAACTCACCCACAGTTACTCACTTCGAGAGCCATGTTAGATTTTAAAACTTATGCAAAACCCACATTATAGCCTTTGCAGGAAGTAAACTCACAGTCATCCATTTGGCACCTATATGTTGAACATGGCCGCCTTTAAAACGTTATTAAAAAAGAAAAAATATGTGCCCTCGGGAAGAGGTGGGTTTTCTTTCCGAGCAACTCACTTCTGTTATCTGTTATCTGTTCCGGTACCTGTTGTCGTGTCCTTAAATGTTGCATTTGATCAGACACAATGTAATAGTGTCGTATAAGCATTAGTTGTAATAGAACGTCTTGTGTAAAATAGTAGAAGTAAAGAAAAAAGATGTCACCTGTTACAGACGCTGGAATCAGTGTGTATGGCATTTTCGATTCTTTTACTCTGTACTGTATATTTTATATTCTGATACTAAATATTATTTTTTCAAAATTTGGGGGAAAATAAACAGAAATTATTATTGCCTAAGATGAAGAAGAGAAGAGAACTATCTTTTCAAAATCATGCTAGTCTTTTTCATTAAGAGGAAGTTTCTGATAGGAGCACAATTATGGTATATCCCTTGCTATTTTTGCATTAGGAGATGTAAAACAGGTTCATCCATCGACTTGTCAAATGTCAGATATAGTCCAGGAGTAAACCGACTCAACTAAGTTTACGGTGTCAATTCATGGACATATACCCGGGGGTGCATTAGGTGCGATTTTATTTTTCCCAGGGATTTTGTTCACGATGCTAAGGAAATGGAGACAATGGGGAAAAATAACAATGTGCTGTGTCTCGGAAAGATGTGGTGAAGCTAGCTTAAAGATTTACGTGCAAGTTTTGATGATGGAGACGTTTTTCTAAGATAAGTTAAAATACCCGCTCTGAATCTAATTGGCTGCCTGGGTTCAAGTGACAACGCTCGTTTCACGTGACGGGAATTTCCCTCGATGTCGGAAAGCTCAGATTTTCTCAATATATCAGCAAAACTGTGCCCATAAGTTGGTCTCAAGATATATCTGATGTATGTAGGATATTGTATAGCAAATATAAAGGGACATCACTGATTGTCCGGGAGGAAAACTTAAGAGACGCTGCATCTTTAAGTCATAAAATAAATAAATTAAGAAATGCGGAAATTGATTTTTCGCCATATAACCTTAAAATCGAAAAATTAATAGTACCCTAATATAAAGTCAAAATTAATTGATTCTTTAGAAAAAAAAGAATGACATGGAATGACGAATGCAAAATTATTGGAAAATTGTGACACTTTTTTAAAGTTACTCTCAAGTTCGTCTAGCCCCTTATTAAGCCTCAATCACATTTGCTAAGGCGAACGATTTTGGGAACTACGACCGCCGTACGGTTGCCGTAGATTAGCGTATCCAAACCAGATAGGGATTCGTATACTAATCTGAATCATTTAAATGCTTTGATAAATTGTAACCCTTCGCGTTATAAATATGAAACAGATACTAGGTTTTCGATTTTTTGTAAATATTTTGGGAACTGAAACGAAATAGTTTTTATTGAATATCTGTTTTTGCATACGGATTCGTCTAACTTTTTTGTTTTGAGCTGCAGTACAGTGTAAGATACGCATACTTCATGCCAACGTATATGCCAACAATATCAAAATACTCAATTATGCACTCGACGGTTTAACTTTTTGAGCTGTCTCCAAATACAATGCTCGGTCATGCCGTAATTTTACTTATTTAATCAAAAATGTCCACCTTTAATTTTCTTTTTCCCCTCCAACTGTCAACAGGGAATAATTCATAGTATTACAAGCTTTTTAACACTTATTTTTTAAAATGTAGGTTTAAAAAAACAATATACTTCATATGCGAAATGCAGTTGTTGGACCATAACCATGAGGCGAGTCAAATGTGCGCTCAGCTGTTTTTGGTCGTGCATCATGTATGATGTAAATCAAGTGTCGACCTTTAATAAACAATAGAGATACTAACACTTAGAAGGGACAACCAGTCGTGAAAACTTAACATTCCACAGGTTAAGTGTTATCCTCACGCGTTATAGATATGTCGTAGGTATTAATTTTGAAACATCTACCAAGTATAAATATATATCAACTGACAAGAAACTAACTACCGAGTTTTGGTTGAGATTATGAATGGTCAAGCCAGCTACTCTATTTGAAGGAATAAGTCAAGTGTGTAGTCACAACGAATTTGAAGTATGTAGTATTAACTGAAAAGCTTAACAAAATAAAGAGATCAACATTGTAAAATGTAAGTACTTATTTGGACATTATAACTGAAACGACCCTGAAAAGGAGTTGACAGACTTTAATTGATTGACAGGAAATGTGTCTTATTGTAAGAGTTGTTAACTTTCACTCAAAGAAAGATTTTAGTTGACTTTCAAACATACAAGGTGCTTAACCTAGATCAGTATGTTATTGAACGGAACTATTTATTCTCACTTATTCTATTGTGGTCAGCTTAAGGCAATAATATAAGTTGTTATTGTTGATTTTACTTGAAATCACTTAAAAAGAATCAATGCAGAGGCTAATACCTTTTTACCTCTGTAATAATCAAAGTATCCAAATATTCAATTGATTTATAGAATAGCGAACGGTAGTGTCGTGTAACAATCGTGTTTCTTCTGACTGGATATCAAAATGTGGCAAAAAATAGCTGGATTTATTGTCGTGGTGCTCGGAATAATCTACGTCAGGCAACGGAAAAGAACATATACCAGGGAGCTCGCAAATGATCAATATGATTACATAATAGGTAAGTGTATACCCAAGTTTCATGATGGCGGTATATTTACTTTGAAGCGATCTTAAAATCAACTTGAGACATTTGAATTTTTAGAGAGAATATCATCACTCCCTTAAGTCATAAGCTTTGCTGACTATATTTTTGTATCGACGATTGAATTAACGAAGGTCTATATTTCTTAATTCGAACATGAAAACTCACCAAAATATTTAGTTGTTTATAGATCTGCGCAATATATGATAACATAATCAAACGCTTTTTAAGTTATACGGGAATAATAATCATGCTATAAGTGAGTTGCAAAATGTCTATATTTTTCGAAAAAATATAACAAAACCTCACAGTTTATTTTTTGACTTGATGTTTCATAATATCAAAGAAAACAACTTACTGCAGACTATGTGCATATCACTTGTGTGTTTCTGTTCGAGCTCCAATGACGCTACGAGCTGACGTCATTTAGACGTAGCGTTAGTGTACATGTAACAAACAGGCTCACATTCGATGTAAAATGTACGCGATTTCCTTTTAAACTTATGACACAGTTTTAATTTGTTGGAAATGCTGATGGTGATCTTGCAACGGGCCCACCCTTAATTATCAATTGATGAAATTGACATTATTGAAAAAAATCTCCCGCAGATTTTTAAAACTGTCATGACGTGATTCCTGAAATTTGTCATTGAAAAAAAGCCTTATATATAATTTTGTAATATGTATTATCAAATGAGTAAAATTCCAAGCATATGCTTGTCAGTAAAAATATACATATGACGATAAATATTTAAGGATTCCTCTCTTCCTTTAGCGGCCTGAGTTTTTTATCATGTGTTTCGAAACTATTGATATTGTTATAGTAATTATATCATAAATAAATGGTGTGTGTTTTTATGAGGATAATAAACTTTTAGATGACACGCAAAGAATGGATACAGCGATGAAAGATCTTGTACAGACCATATTTTTTACTTTGAGTAGTATTGTTAAGAAAAGGCTTAAGATAAGTGATATCTCTTGAAATGGAGACAGGAAGGTTTACGACTGATTAATAATCCCATCCCAGGATTTCTTAGACATTTTAACAAACCATCCCATAATAAGGTGGTCCACAAAATGGGACACTGATATTCCAAAAATAAGTATTGATTTTATTTATGAAATAATGTCATATTGTATACCAATGGATAGTGAATTTATTTATCTTTAATTTGGTGTATCATAAATTCAAATTTTGCACAAAACTGGTCAATAGCATCATTGATATGCTGTTGAGACAATGAATTCCACTTCTCAACAATTTTATCCTTAAGAGATGTAAAGGATTTATGGCACACCGATTCTGTTAGTTCTTCCAATATGTGGAAGTCAGAGATGTTGGGTAATCGGGTTATCTGGGGAGGGGCAATGATTAAGGGGGGATGAATCTATAAAGCACATTTTCTTTTAAACATTTAACGCTCTTGTGGGATCTATTGCTTAGAGCCCCATCTTGTTGGAAAAAGTAATGATTCGAAAATGAGCTAATACCAGGATGGTCCAAAAACAATATAATTGGATCATCCGATGCCAACCTCTGCGATATTGTCTGTTTATACAAAAATAAAGTTAACAAAAAATGACGTCATCTATATTATGGACGCTGGTCGACAGACATTAAAATAGATTTGAACTTATGATATACCAAATTAGAGTTAAGTAAATTCCTATCCACTGGTATATAATATGACATGTTTTCAACGAGAAAATCAATATTCATTTTTGAAATATGAGTGTCCCATTTTTTGGACCACCCTGTATAAACAATCTGCGGGATGAAATATTTTCTCATAAGATTCTATCCCAGCGGTGCTTAGGGTGGCGGGATAAAATATTTGCTCATATCTTATCCCGGCATGTAATGAATTATTATAAACTGAAACCACTACAACATGTAACCTCAATGTCCACGGTACCATTCATTTGATTCTCGTCAATTTATTTCAAAAACATATTAACAAAATTGATAAAGGTAAAGTAATTAGATTTATGGTATCTTTATTATGATATGCACAGTATACAGACAATTTACAGGATCTAGGCTGATTCCAGCACACCGGTGAATCTTTATAGTACCTGACTATCAGTCAGTGTTGATATCACAGTGTTTACATCACATTTGCCAATCAGATCACTGGACATTTCATAATAATTGAGTAATAGTATATGTCACAGTGCATCAGTCTGGTAGGGGCATTGCGAGTATGTCATCACGCATTCTGTCATATTCATTGAGAAGCAGTATGGCAAACCTGAAGATAGCAAATAGTTTTTAATCAAGAGACTACTCTAATTTCATAGACTCAAAATACAGTGAATTAGAGCAAATGAGACAAAGGCATTATTTGATCAAAATGGTAAAAATAATGTAATGACTGACAAACAGAAACGAAGTACACGTACGTATATTTTGGCTTGCATTGATAAAAATGATATTGGTGACAATTGGACTGCGATTCTTTAACAACACACACATGATAAATGAATGTGGAAGTTATAAAATTGAGAGGCATCTGGGCCATTTAGAATAGTAACAGGATGCTTACCCCAGAAAGTCAAAGTCAATCTTCGATAACCTTGTTTGGACGATTGCCCATATACCCCAAAAGAAATGTGATGCCTAAAAGGAAAAATGTAATATATATGACGTAGCATTTTTTTTACTTCGCTACATAATTGAATAAACAAAAGTAACGCCATCATTCTAAGAAGAGCAATATCGAAACAACTAAGTCAGTAGAATACGGAGATGAAGCATCCTCATAATCCCCATACCTTACCATAGGATCAGGAGATTTGACAGTATTTTCTACCTTTAAGTAAACAATGAAGTTAGTTCCCAAAGGTCCATGCACTTAATCACTGGGGATGAACTGGAAACGAGGGAGGTTTTGCCTCGTATCAAAATGGCGGCGCGTGAAAAAATTTCATTCGGTTAGATTTTTGTTTTTTACAATTTTCGTGCTTTTATCCTTCAAATTAAAACCTAATATTTGGCACGTAAATAGTTCATAAGTTCCGGTTTTATAATATGATTACAAATAAGAAATCAATACTGGCATTGCTGAGATATTTACATATCAATTCTCTCACTTAGGAAACGAGGCATGTTTCTCAAGGAAACGAGGCAGCTATATAGCATTCTTAAGAATGAAACGAGGCAACCATATTTAATTAAAAATGGGCTTCGAATCAAGTAATAAACATTGCAAAAGTCAGTGTACGGAGCCCGATGCAATATTGGACGTAAACATAAAACCAATGCTGACTGCATCCTTTTAATTCAATGTACCAAAAAGCCAAATTACTCCTCTTTGCAATGGAATATCATTCATTCACAGGGAGTCCTCTCTGGCCGAATAATCATTAATTTTGCAAAGTGGGGCAAAATTCAGCCCAGACATTGGAAAAGTCAGTACAAGGGGCATAGGGGCTATTGGAAGAAGGTGTGACAGGTATGGCATAGACAGTAAAGTGTTCATACTCATACTCTTGCAAGAATATATCCTATACCCCTCCAAATTGCCACCACTTCCTTGCACATAAAGATGCGCTCATCTGTCCACGTCATGCATGGTCCAGCCCTGAATCATGTGTGGGTTAAAGCAAAGAAAAGCAGCCCATGGGCAAATCTTTCTCGAGGTTTTGCAATATCTGGTGGATGAATTGTGAGCACAGATGCTCCTGAGATAGCTCCAAAAGAAAAAGTCACAACAATTAGTCAGGGGAACTTCCATTGGCACTTAGCCCTTGCACTGATTTTTTCAATATCTAAAACTTGGCGCAGAGCCGATTTTGACCCACTGTGCAAATGGAAGGATTTCTCACCCAACCATTGCCACGTGTGAATGAATGACATATCATTGCAAAGAGGAGAGACATGGCTTTATGGTACATTAAATGAAATTACTAGTTTTGTGATTTTACGAGATAACAACTTGCTGCGTTTTTTTTTATACGCCCTGTATAGTTCTTTTGAATTTCTGCTTTAGTCTTGGCCATATCCTGCAACAAATTGAGAATTCCCGGGTTAGTTACCACTATTAAGACAGAAATAAAACAAGTATTAAGTGACGTTATCTAAAGCAACGTACCGTAATTGATATAAAACTCAAGTCGTATGTGATTTGGGAAAAAAGTTGACACCATGTTAAGTGTTTTAACAATGACCAATTAAGTTGTTTATTTAGAATACCTTTCAACCGAATCGGGATATCCTAGATCTTTGATTAACCACATCTGCTTAGGCAAAAGATACAGGTGTTGTACTTACGCGATTGCTGTATTATTTAGGGATTATTATGAAGAAATCCCTTTTCCTTTGACTGCAAATAAAGTATGGCGTATCATGAGATCACGTGATGATCTCCTCCACTTGAGTTAGCAGCATTTATTGCTGAGTCATCAACTTAATTCGCACTTTCCGTAACATACCTTATTGCAACGTACATGAGGAAAACTCATTACATGTTCCAATAAAGCAATACAACAGAGCGAACAAAGGTAATGAGCACATTGTATTGAATGTCCGCCTTGTCATATTCAAGAATTTATTTACTAATTCCATCAAGATATTACAAAATGTTGGGAAATGTTGTAACGTACCTTAAAATCCTTATCTTTTGAATTGAAAAATGACACCTTTATGACCTATAACTTTTGTTCTGGATAGAATACAGTTTTTAAACTTTGCATGCATTTTGAGAAATCATTTTCTGATAAAATATCACTCTGGGTTAAACATTTAAGTGATTCGTGCATTCTCTAGAAATTGAAATATCTAAAGTGGTATTTTAGAAAAAAAAACTGGCGACATGGGTTCCGGGCATCTGATTATTAGGTTGGAAAGGATTAAATTACTCGAAACGTTAGTAAAATACAGTAAATACCCACAGGTATCTTTTCAGGAAGTTTGGATGTGTTCTAAAATCTATAACTACTTCAGTTGTGCTTATAAAACATCACCATGCACT